TTTTGTAATATAAAATGAAATTACTTAAAGATGCATCCTGTAACTTTACTGATGGGTGGTCCATTTGTTTGTCTCCATAAATGTGGTATTGCTTTGCCTTGAACGTTTCACAGTGTGACAATAAGAATATCTATCTTAGATTTACTTAATTACATTAATGTTTTTATTGCTGAAAAATGCCTCGCCAACTTGGCCTGGTGACATCTCCATGGAGATACAGACAAGATTGATGGCATACTGTGGAACATTTAATAGACAAATATATTATTATTATTATTATTATATATTTGTTTGTTCCACAATTATATTGTCACATCAATAATCCCAAATCTTAAACCAACACATTTATTTAATTTAAAAGTCCTATATTACACCACTGTTTACTGTGAGCATTTAGTCATGTTAGAAGGAACAAAAAAATACCTGGAGTTTGCAAAATCAGTTTGTCTACATCAGTGTTTCCCACACTTTTTTCTTTCTTTTTTCTTTTTATTTTAAAACAAACAACCCTTCGATATTCTTAAATCACAAAATAAAGGTGGATTAGAGCATTATTGAACATTAATGAGGATATTTTATTGTTGACTGAGTGATCGTGTCTCTGAACAGTTAGTATTACTCAAGTTTGAAACAATAAAAAACAGTCATTGAAGCAGCAATATAAGGATCCATAAGTCACCTATTGGGACATTAAATGCAACCCATTTCTTTTTCTTTTCAACATTCAATTGACCTACATGCAGACTGTGACAAGGCGATGCCCCAAAAAATCTCTTGCAACCTACCTGAGGGTCGTGACCCAATCTTTGGGAAACAGTGGTCTACATCTCCAAAGCTCAAAATACTTGGTTTGACCTTGTGATGTCATGTAGTGGAAGTTTTCAAGTTAACGGCTCCTTTTACTTTTAGTTTAGTAGAGGTTGGCAATTCCAGGATTTAACTCATCCAAATGATTCTAGTGAAGGTGTGTATAAAAACACAGAGGAGCCCTTCCTGTATTACCACATGACATCACAGTGTGGAACAAAGATTTTTCTAGGCCTAAATATGCAAGGTTTGAGTGCTGAAGATGTGTGAATGAAACAAAGCACAACTCCAGGTCTGTTTGTGATGAAGAAACAAGATTAGAACATAGATCAGAAAAATAGCATACGAAATAATACTGATAAACTGTAATGCTATGGTAAAGTAATAGTCAAACTGAAATATAACACTACCATCTCCAGTAAATTTGGAAAAAAATAATAGCCATAATTGTGTAATTGTGCAATACATCCCAATGAAAAAGATGAAGCAGGCAGATAAAACCACTGAACCGCTGCTAACGACCCTCTCTATTCCTGTAACCCATTAAAGTGCTAAGTGAAATCTGAAGGCAGCAAGAAATTATCATTATTTTCCTACAGATTCTTCTTCTTCTTAGTTTACTACGTGACAAATCGAGCCAATACGCCACAAATTCCTTGTCGTGGTCTGTGGACTTTTCCATAAAACTGTCTCGGGGAGTAAACGATGCACTCCATAGCAGACAATAGCATTAAATTTTGTATTCGAAAAACCATTCTGTGAAAAACAAAGTGCCTCATGTACAAAGTGTTGAGCAAATTTGTAGAATGAAAAAAAATTGAATCTAGTTATGCTTTAATGGACTGCTGGTGTAATTTGTAGTCACACATTTATAGTCATTAAAGTAGAATCATTAAAGTGCGGTGTTTGGCTGCTCTTGTGGCTACCTGACGCACACACTGAGCAGTTTTAGATTTTTTTTGTTTCATTTTTGGAGCTCAGTTTGTATCATCATGTCATAGAATTTTTTAAGTCCAGCATGTGCAGTTCAAAGGACACAAGTTAGGGAGTGTTGGATTTTGTGAAATGAGCTGTTTGTTTTTCCCGTATCGATGGAAACTGCGCAAGAGGCCGGCGAAGTAACAAGCTGAAAATCTCGCTGTGGACATTTGAGACGCTACAGGCTTTTTACACCATATGTGGCAGCAAATGTGGCAGAAGGAAATACTTTGAGGGAATGGACCATTTCACCACCAACCAAAACACCAGAGAGGAGTAAGAGCGATGCCTTTCCTGTTGTGCTCATCTGGAGCCTCCTGGACGTTGCTGTGATGCTGCAGGACACAGAGGAGGGACACTTTTGTCTCTTCCACAGGATCTGCTGACCCTCCCTGACCGGTCGTCCTGTTCACCTGACTGAAACACAAAGACCACTGAGACGCACAGTGTAAATGTTTCTGCAGCAAAACTTCAATTACCCTCTGGATCAATAAAGTATCTCTCTCTCTGTCTCTCTGTCTGTCTCTCTTAATCTCTCTCTCTCTGTCTGTCTATGTCTGTCTCTCTATCTGTCTCTCTGTCTCTGTCTGTCTGCCTGTCTGTCTGTCTCTCTCTGTCTGTCTGTCTGTCTGTCTGTCTCTCTCTGTCTGTCTCTCTCTGTCTGTCTCTCTCTCTCTCTGTCTCTATCTGTCTGTCTCTCTCTCTCTCTGTCTCTATCTGTCTGTCTCTCTCTGTCTGTCTCTCTTTCTCTGGCTTTCTCTCTCTCTGCCTCTCTGTCTGTCTCTCTGTCTCTGTCTGTCTTTCTCTCTATCTTTCTCTCTCTCTCTATCTTTCTCACTCTCTCTCTCACTCTCCCACTCTCTCGCTTTCTCCCTGTCTCTGTCTCTCTCTCTCTGTCTGTTTCCCTGTCTCTCTTTCTCTCTCTCTCTCTTTCTCTCCCACTCGCTCTCTCTCACTGTCTCTTTCTCTATCTCACCATCTCTCTCTTTCTTTCTCACTCTCTATCTTTCTCACTCTCTCTTTCACTCTCCCACTCTCTCGCTTTCTCTCTGTCTCTCTCTCTGTCTGTCTCCCTGTCTCTCTTTCTCTTTCACTCTCCCACTCGCTCTCTCTCACTGTCTCTTTCTCTATCTCACCATCTCTCTCTTTCTCTCTCACTCTCCCACTCTCTCTCTCTCTGTCTACCTGTCTCTCTCTATCTCTCATGCTCACTCGCTCTCTCTTACTCTATCTCTCTGTGTCTGTCTCCCTGTCTCTGTTTCTTTGTCACTCTGTCTCTTTCTCCCTCACTCTCCCACTCGCTCTCTCACGCTCTCTCTGTCTTTCTGTCTCTGTTTCTCTCACTCTCTCTCTCTCTTTCTCTATTATCCCTGTCTCTGTCTCTCTGTCACCATCTCTCTCTTTCTCTCTCACTTTCCCACTCGCTCTCTCACGCTCTCTCTCTGTCTCCCTGTCTCTTTCTATCTCTCTCTCACTCACTTTCTCTTACTCTCTCTCCCTGTCTCACTCTCACTCTCTCTCTCCCTCTCTCCAGCTCTCTCTTTCTCTCCCTGTCTGCCCCTCTCTTTTTCTGCTCTGTCTCTCTGTCTCTCTCTCTCTAAAGATGCACTGTGTAACTTTTCCGGTGGACGGTCCGTTAAATCTCTTTCTCCGTGGAGATGTCATTGCTTCGTCTGGAATGTTTCATAATTTGGCTTAAACCTTTCCGTCCAAACCAGACCAAGTTACAGGTCAGATCTGTGGAGAGGCGAAAACAGACATTCTGAGTGTGAGCGAGGTTGAAACAATCCAGACAAAGCAATAATATCTCCGTGAAGAAAGATATTTGACAGACCCTCCTCTAAAAAAGTGACACAATGCACCTTTAACTATCAGTGCATTGTTAGTGCTCAGAGAAGCACATTTTGGATTAAAACATTCATGAAACAAGCGCGAATGAAGAAAAAATTCAAGCTTAGGCCAGATTTGTTTTTATGAGCGGCGGGATATGCAGAAACAGTCTTGTCCTTGGTCCGTTACTATTTAACATCTATTTAACAAATGATTTTCCACTGCTTCTGTTAAAGGCCCAGATGTTGTTTTGTATGCAGATGCGTTTTCAGCAGAGAGAGAGACAGACTGACTGAACTTTATTTAATTCATGCTTTTGTCATTAAGTCCTCAAAAAAAAAAAAAAGCCCCTCAAAAAGGTTCAGTTTGCATTTTACCTGTTAAGTTGCGTCACAGATAAGAATCCGTTCTTCTCCTATATGCAGTTTTTAAGACAATAAATCATCAGAGAAAACAAGGCTGACAAAAACTAGCATGCTAACTGCACACTTTCCTCATTATCTGACTATAAAATGCTTCACAATTAGATGCAGACAACACACCGCACGCTTATTCTGACCTCAAGAGCTGCTTAAACAAGACAGATTGTACTTTATTATCTTTTTCAGTATTGCTCTTGAATATAATGTCATTTTCTTGTGTCTATTTGACTCACATTCAGAATTAGACTTAAACTTAGACAAACTTTATTAATCTACAATTATTTGGACTCAGTAGCTCATACATCACAATATAAAATAATATAATAATAATAATATAATAGCAAGCAAATAGCAAGAGACTGGTGTCAAATGAGGTATAATTATATAAATAATAAAAATAAATAAAATAATACATTGAAAATAAATAAATAAATAATCAAGAGCAAACAGTTAAAGAACACACATTATGCTGATTTAACCATGTAATATTTTTGACTGCTGACTACCCCCTTCATGAATCTCTGAGTAAATGCCTCATTCGCTGAAAACAGTTTGTTCAGATCTGCACAAGGACAGTATATAGTGAAGCATTAGCTGTTACTCATCACCTATGTAAATACTCCCATTTACTTTACACGCTGGGTAAACTTAATAGGTTAACACTTTAACTAAATAATAAAACTTAGATGAACTTTGCCCAGGATCTGAATTCTAGGAGATAACGCCACCTTAAAATAGGGATCAAGGAAGTGCAGTGGACAGAAGCACTTGACTCCTCAGTAGCTCACTGTCTCAACTCTCTGTCTCAACTCTCTCTGTCTCTACTCTCTGTCTCAACTCACTGTCTCAACTCACTGTCTCTGTCTCAACTCTCTGTCTTAACTCTCTGTCTCAACTCTCTGTCTCTAACTCTCTGTCTCAACTCTCTGTCTCTGTCTCTACTCTCTGTCTCTCTATGTGGATCTGAAATGGAAAACGGAGGAGTTGACAACCATGCATTTCATGTGAGTAATAAAATGCTATTTTGGTTTGTGCTTTATTAGACTGCAAAATGGGCACCACTTTTGGGCAGTAAATAGTTGCAAAGTCGGGATTACTGTAATTAGATTACTTTTTTAGTAAGGCAGTAATGTAACTAGTTACAATTAAAAATATACTAATTAAATTACAGTTACTTGGCCTAGTAACTTTTAGTTACTTTTTCCCTGAAAAAAATATATTATTGGGTAATCCACAGAACTGTTATAAAACAGTAAATCAGATAAACAAGATGCTCTCCTGGTATCAGACGCAGATCTGCTGTGAACCAAAATAATACAAATGTTCTTTCTGGAGGACTGTGCATCTCTTGTGAAATCAGGTTTTAGAACAGAAAGTGTCTTTACTGTAAAGAATTCTTGCTTTTTATAAGGTGGTTCCTGAGCTGTATGTTTCTTTTTTTTTAAGAGTAACTTATCAGTAGTCTCATAACTTGAAATAAAAACAACAAAAAAATCTAAGTAGTAATTAAATTACTTTTAGAAGGAGTAAACAGTAGTCGGATCAACAATGATTACATTTGTGGTCATTTAAAGGTGCAATATGTAACTTTTCTGGTTGGGTCTGGCATCACTTGCATGTCTCCATGGATATGTTATTGCTTTGTCTTAAATGTTCCATAGTATGGTATTACTGGTGTCACTTTATAAGAACTACACCTTAATTAGCTTTAATATAGCATGAACAAGCACAGTTATCAAATGGTTCATCAAGAACAATTCAGGCTTAGTCACTAAATTAAGAGGTTAGGGTTAGGAGGCTTGTTCTCTTTATTAAAGAGGAAATATTATGTCAAATCAACTTTGTGGAGCATTCTACCATGTTATAACGTTGTTCCCTCATCAAAAACACACCTGAAGAGTTTTTATGTGTCATCCATACATATTTGAGTGATTTAGTGATCTCTTTTGGGCCCTATTCAAACTCTTCGTATGGTTAGCAGTACGATTCTGTTCAAATACGACAATTCTCCATAATTATACAAAGGCATGATACAAAATAACACACTACAACTACACAAACCTGATGCGATGTGCAGTAGTTTCATGAGTGAAATGCAGACAGATATAAGCCTGTGTTTCACTAAACTATGGAACATATCAGGTAAAGCAATAACATCTCCATGAGAACAAGTACATGGCATAACCTTCACCAGAAAAGGTCCATAGTACTCCTTTAACATCCTTCTTTGCTCATCGTCATCAGTTGTGCCAGTTTAAGCGGAAATCGATGCACACAAATGCCCTTAAGCGCTGCTGGTATGTTTGGGTCTATACTGGTTTGTGTGCGGTCTGGGTGTCATTCTAGATGGATGAACACAGCAGTGAAGTCGCTATAGGGAAACAAAGACACACACCAAGGAGCAGAAGAGAGGAAGAAGAGGAGGAGGAAGAAGAAGAGGACAGGAATAAACCGACCTACTGCGTCACTGATGTCCCTCCATGGTACCTCTGTGTGTTTCTGGCTCTTCAGGTAAGTTGAAAATGTAAACTCCCTATAGTTTAAATGGCCCATTTTACTTTTACTTACTATTTTCTGCTCTTTGTTATAAAGATTTTTGTTTTGTTTTGTGTTTTGTTTCATTCACACATTTAACACACAAACCCTGCATATTTAGACTGAGTTCTTCTCTCAAACTGAACATGCCAAACACCCCAAATGACAAACTGTGAGTAATTAAATGATCCAAAAAGTACAAAATTACTCACTTCCACCTTTGTTTGGTCATGTTTCTGATTCAAATTTGAAGTTAGGTGAAGTTGTTTCCATTGGCACTGCACCTATGTTTTTGTCAAGCCATGTTTTAGTTAAAAACAAGTCGAGGGCAAAAGAAGTGATTAATTAAAAATGATTTGTTACTTAAAGGTCTGACATTGAGAACAGTAAGTTTCAGATTAGTTTCAGTGGGAGTGGATGTTATCTTCTTACAGGTTATAAAACAGTATGACAGCAGAGGCCTGGTGCTCTAGGTCAGTGTTTCCCAAACTTTTTTTTCTGGGGACCCATATTTTAAAAGTCATACACCTTTGCAACCCAAGGCAATAGACATTATTTGTAAATGACAAAATAACGTGGATATGACCATTATTGAACATTAATGAGGATATTTTATTGTTGACTGAGTGATCATGTCTCTGAACAATTAGTATTACTCAAGTTTTAAACAATGAAAAAGCAATAAATGGATCCATAAGTCGCCTATTTTGACATTAAATGTAGCTTAAAGCTGTTGTCTTTTCAACATTCAATTGAACCAGCAATATTGGAACAAAATAGTCAATAAAGTAATTACAAAAAGATGAGAAATTATGCTGAACATTTCAACATTTCTAATGAGATAGGTGGGCCTGTCTGTGTAGCATGTTACACTCTGAGTGCAGGAGGAGAGCGTAATATGTATATCAGGCCAAAAAACCTCTTGAGACTCACCTGAGGGTTGCGACCCGGTCTTTGAGAAACAATGCTCTAGGTGATAACAGCTCTGGGGGAATTTAAATTATTTTAGATTATTATACAAACGTGTGATTTATGAATGAAACAAAACACAACTCCAGGTCTGGTTTTGAGGAGTACATTCTAAAATGGCTACAAGAGTACATTTTCTGTAATATAGGACCTTTAACACAAGTCACATTTTAAAACTCAAGTATAGTTCTTGTGTTTCTTCAGCATTACCTGACAGCGTTTGGGGGCATCATCTCCATCCCTCTGATCCTCTCGGAGCGTCTGTGTCTGCAGAATGACAGTCTCACTCAGGGGCTCCTCATAAACACCATCTTCTTTGTGTCGGGGCTGTGCACGCTGCTGCAGGTCATACTGGGAGTCAGGTCAGACTGCTCTAACACTGTCACTGCACGCACTGTTTTTAGATACGAGGTGGTTAGATATGAAGTGTTTACGAGTCATACTGGAAATGTAATGGTTCAGGTGTGGGATTAGTTATCAGATCTTATACTCCAGTCAGACATTTTGAGAACATAAACACATTTTTACAGTAAATATAGATATGCACCTTATTTTAAAGCTCTGAAACAACAGAATTCAGTATGTTATTACCACATTATTATGAAATTAACAACTGAAAAATTACAAACTTTTGATAACATGCTGAAGTTTGTTTAGAAAATTCTTCTTGTCTTCTTATTATATAGAAACTTAGGCTACGTCCACACGACAACGCTTCTTTTACGGCCGGAAAAAATTGTCGGATCAATAAATATTCATGTAACATTTAATAATGCAAATCTCATCACTGTGATCAACATGGATCTATTAAAATAAGGTAATTTAGCCTATTTTAGATGTATCCCAGAAATATAGCTGCTTTGTTTTGCAAAAGTTTTCATTTTTAGCCCTAAGATTTTGATGAGAATTATTAGAATAACCTGGTCTGAAATTCCAACATTTTAATTACTCGTGTGTAATCTTTGTTATTGATCCATGTGCGTATTGTGTTGTTAGCATTAGCGTTAACCGTAGGCTACACCTGTCCCATTTCGGCAACGCTTTTGCGGTCCGCAAAGGCATCAGAGGACCCTGGAGATGATGGGGTTGTGACATGATAATTTTCCAAAAGCTGCTGTTTGTTTGTCCACACGACAACATGACACCGGCGCTCTCAGATTTCTCCACTCTGGAACCCGTTCTCAAAAAACTCAGTTTTCGCCCACCCGAAACACTGGCTCTGTATGGACAAAAGACCAAAATGAATGCAAACTTCTCTATTTCGACCAAAAAATGTTGTCATTTGGACAGGCCCTTAGTGTTTTCTTCTCATTAAATAGCTTATTTACCTGACATGTCTCAGCGGTTGCACTTCCGCCTTCATCAGAGGTGTCCACTATCGATATTGATACGACAGGATATTGAAATCAGGAAGCAGGGCGCACAGACCATCAACAGAGACAAGAGGGTATTTACCTTGACTCACACATGGGACTCAATTCTGATCGATCTGACAAATCCATCAAACTGACCACGCCTGGAACAACAGCTGATAAACGACACATCCCAGCATTCAGATCACCCCTCTGATGAAGGCAGAAATAAATTTCTCTTTTCAACATGCTGAAGTGTTTTTTCAGGAAAGAAACCTGGTACTGATTCATACCAAAGCCAAGGTATCGAGAATCAGTAAAACTCCTTCTCATTCTTCACTGCAGACTGCCCATCCTCCAGGGGGGCACCTTCTCCTTGGTGACCCCTGCCATGGCGTTACTGTCTCTGCCCGAGCTGGAGTGCCCGGCCTGGACTCAGAACGCCAGCCTCGTGAACACCTCCTCTCCTGTTTTCATCGAGGTGTGGCAGAGTCGTTTACGCACTGTAAGTTTCCCATTAACACAGATAAGAATGATTTGGATGATATGGATATGGATCGTAGGGAATTGTATCTGTGAGGTGACAAGTGATAAAAGTTGTTATATAAGATCATGCACACAAATATAGATCATCCAAATAACTACTCACATAGAAATATTTCCAAACTGACAAGAAGTAACATTTGAGCTGTTTGAATATTATTGTATTCAGACAGACAGTTGATATGTTCATGATATAAAGCTTCTTATCCCAGACATTTTTATTTTACTTCACTCTCTCTCTTCCTCTCCCTTTCTCTCCCTCTCTTTCTATCACTTTATCTCTCTCTCTCCCCCTTTTAACTCTATCTTGACGATCTTAACTATCTTGTCTGGATAACTGTATGCCCTCTTGCTCTTTCCACGTTTACCTCCACTGTCTCACTCTCTCCCTCACTATTCGTGCCCTCCATTTCTTTCTCTCTCCCTCCCTCTCTTTCTCTATCTCCCTCACTCCCTCCCACCACAACTCTATTACTCTCTCTCCCACTCTTTTCTAACTCCACTACTCACGTACTACTACTTTCTCTCTCTCATACCAATCCCCCCCCCCGCATCACTCTCTACCTCTGCCTCTTCCCCCTCCCTCACTATTTGTCTCTCTCCTCTCTCTCTCCCTCTCTCCTCCTTCCCTCTGTCTCTCTCCCTCCCTCCCTCTCTTTCTCTCCTCTCCCTCCCTCCCTCCCTCCCACTCTAACTCTATTACTCTCTCTCCCACTCGTTTCCAACTTTACTACTCGCCCTCTCTCTGTGCCTTACATTAATCTTTCTTTCCCTCTCTCTGCATCCCTTTCCATCTCTTCCTCCCCCTTCTACCTTGCTGTCTGCCCCCCTCTCTTTCTTCAATCCCCTTCCTTTCTCCTCATTCCCTCACCCCTTCTCTCTCCCCTCCCTTCCTTTTTCTCCTCCTTTCTTCTCTGTTTTGCTCTCTTTCCCCCCCTCTCTCCCTCTCTTCCATCCCCCTACTTTTCTCCTCTCTCCCTCTCCTCCTCTCTCCCCACTCACTTTCTTTCTCTCCTCCTTCCCTCTCCCTCTCTCTCCCTCCTTCCCTCTCTCTCTTCCTCCTTCTCTCTCTCCCTCTCTCTTTCCTTTCTGCATCTCCCTCCTCCCTCCCTCTCTTCCATCCCCCTCCGTTTCTCCTTGCGCCCTCTCCTCCTTTCTCCCCACTCGCTTCCTTTCTCTCTTCCTTCCCTCTCCCTCCCTCTCTGTCCTCCTTCACCCTCTCTCTCTCTCTCTCTGCCTCCTTCCCTCTCTTCCATCCCCCTCCCTTTCTCCTCACTCCATCTCCCTCACTTCCTCTCTCTCCTCCTTCCTTCTTTCCCCCTCTCTCTCCCCTCCCTTTTGCTCCTCCTTCCCTTTCTCTTTCTCTCTCCCTCCCTTTACCCCCCTCCTCCTGACCTCTCACTCTTTCTCCCTTCCTCTCCCCTTCTCCTCCTCGCTCTCTCCTCCCTCCCTCCCTCCCTCTCTTCCATCCCCCTCCCCCTTTCTCCCCTTTTCTCCCTATGCACTCCCCTCTCTCCTTCTCTCCCTCTCCTCCTCCTCTTCCTTCCCTCCGTCTCTCAGCTGCAGGGTTCCATCATGGTTGCGTCGGTGCTGCAGATCCTGGTTGGTTTCTCTGGTCTCATTGGGTTCCTCATGAGGTTCATTGGTCCTTTAACCATCGCTCCCACCGTGTCTCTGATCGGTGTGTCTCTGTATGACTCAGCGGGAGACCGAGCAGGGAGCCACTGGGGCATCTCTGCTCTGTACGTAACCATACAGTATCTCACTATTTACTGCTTAAAGGGCTCATAGTACACCATTTTTTGATCTACAGTATGTTACAATCCTGTTACCTCATCACAAACAGACCTGGAGTTGTGTTTTCTTTCATTCAAACATGCTTGAGTAATCCTATCTACATCTCCAAAGCTCAAAATGCTCTGTTCCACCTTGTGGTGCCATGTAGTGGTAGTTTTATCCCCCCTCGTCGAAATGAGTTTCCTCCACAGGGTGGCTGGGCACTCCCTTAGAGATAGGGTGAGGAGCTGAGTCACACTGGAGGAGCTCAGAGTAGAGCTGCTGCTCCTCCACATCGAGAGGAGCAGCTGAGATGGCTCGGGCATCTGTTCCAGATGCCTCCTGGGGCATGTCCCACCAGAAGGAGGCCCCTGGGGAAGACCCAGGACACGCTGGAGGGACTATGTCTCTGGGCTGGCCTGGGAACACCTTGGGATCCCCCCGGAGGAGCTGGAGGAAATGTCTGGGGTGAAGAAAGTCTGGCAGTCCCTGTTTAGACTGCTGCCCCTATGATCTGGCCCCAGATAAGCAGGAGAAAATGGATGGAAATCAATAGATGGAGCTACCTTTTACCTTAGTAGAGAGAGGCATTTCCAGGACTGAAATTGATTGATTGTTTTACTTTGAGCATGTGCAGAGCACACAGAAATGTCTACTTTTGTCAATGTACATATCTGTATTATTACAAATAGTACTTACTTTATGAAGGGTTTGACATGTGTGCTAAACCTGTGTGAATGAAACAAAACACATCTCCAGGTCTGTTTGTGATGCAGGAAAAACATTATAACACTCTGTTCACACAAATATCCATTTCAAATATTGATCTATTCTAACTGCTCTTTCCCCAGGACCACGGTTCTGATCATCGTCTTCTCTCAGTATCTCTCTAGGGTTCCTCTGCCCATCCCCACATACAACAGAACCAGGAAACTCCACACCTCCAAGTTCTACCTCTTCCAGATCATGCCTGTATGTAACACTCTGCGTAAAAGAAATCCAGGATTAATCTTTATTTTAATTTGATCAAATGTGTGGGCATCTTAGACTATTTCATAAACATAATATTAAATGTACGTTGTGTAACTTTTCTGGTGGAGGGTCCGTCAAATACTTTTCTCTTTGAAGATGTTATTTGCTTTGTCTGGAATGTTTCACAGTATGGTATTAAACCTTTCTATCTTCATGGAGACCAAATCAGAGCAAGTTACAGGTCAGATCTGTGGAGAGGTGACCCAGCTCACAGTCAGAATGCCTGTTTTTCTAGGCATTATTGAACTATAAAACCACCTGTAATTGAATAAATGTAAGGCAGAACTGTTTAATGTCACACTGTGGAACATTCTAGGCAGGGCAGTAACATATCTATAGAAACAAGCAGGTGATGGTTGCACAATGCACTTTTAAGATAAGATTTATGACTAATTTCAGTATGTTTACCATCTCTTCAAGCTACGTTATGTTTTTATGTTTTTTCCCTCATCAAAAACTCCACTGACAGATCACTAACTTATTGAAACTTGTCAGGAATAGTCAAATATAAGACAGAATTAAAAAAAAAAAAAAAATCCAAAGTACTAATGCAATTTTAACTCATGTAGATAAACTTGGACTAAACCAAGAACAGGACCAAACGAAGCCCACATCAGGACCAAATCAAGCCCACATCAACATAAACTTGGACTAAACCAGGACTAGAACAGGACCAAACCAAGCCCACATCAGGACCAAACCAAGTCCACATCAGGACCAAACCAAGTCCACATCAGGACCAAACCAAGTCCACATCAGCATAAACTTGGACTAAACCAGGACTAGAACAGGACCAAACCAAGCCCATGTCAGGATTAAAGGACCCATATTACTCTAATTTCTGTTGAGTTTTCTATTTTCTGTCATATTTGTGTTGTGTTTTGTTTCATTCACACATGTATGAAAACTACCACTACATGACATCACAAGTTGGAACAGAGCATTTTGAGCTTTGGAGATGTAGACCGACTAATAATAAATGAATAAATAAACTAAATGAAACAAAACACAATTCCAGGTCTGTTTTTGAAGAGGTAACAACATTCTAACATGACTCACAAGAATCATTTTGGAGTAATATGAGACCTTTAAACTGTTACCAAACTCCAGTATTTCTCCACTGTTCTTTGAGTTGAGTGTTTCTAATGACAGATATTGACAGATTCTCCTGGGCATAGCGGTCTCGTGGCTGGTCTGTTACCTCCTCACCATCTACAACGTTCTACCTTCAGACCCAGACAAATATGGCTACCAGGCTCGCACTGATATTAAAGGGGATGTGTTAGGACAAGCTCCATGGTTCAACTTCCCTTACCCTGGTGAGTGTCAACAAACTTATAAAACATACAAGAATATATCAATACAACTTAATTATAAATTATAATAATGTAGTGGTAAGTATTTCTACCTTTATATGATGAGGGTCTGAACAGAAGACGCAAAAGTGGCATTGTGTCTTCACTTTTTATTTCGTGTTTAGACGAGTGTTTTCTGGAGGAAATCTGCATGCATACGGTGACACAAAAGTGTGTGGAGTCTGATTGTGTATGGTCGTACTTAAAGCAAAGGGCGTCTTTAGACATTTGGAAAAGTAAACACATTTTCGTCAGCTACTCCTTCCACAAAGTTGCCCCACCACTGACTGGTTCTCCAGGTCTTCTCCATATCTGTCTGACTCGCCTGCGACAAACTGGTGCATCCGGAATTTGACAAAGGTGATTGCAGATCCTTCTCCGTCTTTGCTCACTAATAGTATCTGTGCAGATTCTGTGCATTTGTTGGGAGTCTCGTGTAAGTTCATTAGAGCTGCCAGAGCAACTTGAAGGTATGACACATGGAAATGATCCCACGTGTTTGTTTGTTTGTGTGTACTGTATGTATGTGACGTAAACGTGTACGCAACGTGAGCAGATCTGACCAGAGTTTTGCGTCTTGGGCAGTGTAGACCGAAACGCTACAGACTTTTCCACTCTGGAGGGTGGTTTTAGATGTTTGTGTTTTTAAGATCCAAAACACTGTCACTATCCAAATGAAAGGCACTTCCAATAAAACATTTTGTCTCAAGTGTTCTCGTGTAAACAGGCCCTAAACTGAGTTCTTCTTTTCAACACACTGTTTGTGATGTCACGTGGTAATAAAAGAAGTGCTCTGCTGTGTTTTTAAACTCCATACACCTTACATAGAATCATTTGGATGATCTCTTCCTTATAACTGCCAGTCTCTAACAAAATTGAAGGGTAGCTGTTGATTTGAAAACTACCGCTTCATCACATCACAAGGTGGAACAAAGCATTTTGGGCTTTAGAAATGTAGACAGACTAATAATAAAGAGTTCCTGAAACATGTGTGAATGAAACAAAACACAACTCCAGTATGTTTTTAAGGACGTAACAACATTCTAAAATGAATAAAAACTAAAAAAGATTCCATTTGATGTAATATAGGACATTTAACTATCTATTGGGGTCTACTGTATGAAGTAGAATTGTATTTTTAATTTTATTTATAAGTTATTTGAATGGAGAAAATACATATTAATAAACTGTGGTCCCCAGGCAAGGTGTAAAATGCAGCACAAAAGACAGAATGTATCTTAGATACAAAAAGATATAAAAGTTAAGAAGCCACTGAAAAGCAGATTAGTGGGTAGGTACTAGAAGATCTAGACTTTTATCTTTTTAAAACAACTTTAATTGTTTTGAATAGTTCTGACTAAATCCATTTCCTTGTTTGACTGAGATTATTTTATTTGTAAGATAATTCTGATTAATTTGGGATTTTTTTTCCTGTTTCAATCAAAAAAATATCTGATGGAAGAATAGTATGTTCTCATCTCAAAAGCAATTTCCCAGTTTTTCTCACTGAATATTTGAGTCAAACAAGTTTCTAACCAATCTGAAATAATTCTCAAATCAATCAAAACGTAAGCTCTGTTTGATAATTGTTAAATATTCAGAATTAAATCTTGTTTCTAATATTTTAAAGGGCTTGTTCTTGATTTTTTTCCATGTATGTCAGTAAAATAGGTACAGATATATTGTATAAGCAGCTCTTGAGGTCAAAATAAGCTCACTGTCAAGTCTTTAATTACAGAATACATGTCCAACTTGAAAAACCAGGGACAATACACAAGGCTCAATTCAGCTTGAAGATTTTTTTATTGCAATTGTTCAGTTCGTTTTGTAGTAGTAGTAATAGTAGTAGTAATAATAGTAATAATAGTAGTAGCAGCAATAGTAGTAGCAGTAGTAGTAGTAGCAGTAGCAGCAGCAGCAGCAGTTGTAGCTGTAGCTGTAGCAGTAGCAGGTCGAAAACCTTCAAAGTAAACAAATATGCATAATGAAATTAAATTTACATTTTACAATTTCATTAGTGATACATCTAAATTAAATTGAATTTTAATAAATATACATAAATTATAATATTTACTATGTATATAATATTTCTTATATTTATTATATAATTTCCCTTTTACATATTAACTTAAATAGCTACAATTTTAACCAAAGTATAATTTTATCAATCAATTTTAATCATAAATATAACTTATTTTTTATACAAATTTAAATGATTATATGAAATAAATTTAATATTTTATTATTTTAAGACAGATATATACATATATATATATATATATATATATATATATATATATATATATATATTTTTTTTTTTTTTTTTTTTTTTTTTTTATTAGTGGTACTCTAACTTAGATCTTACACCATTTCCTATTTTAACTGAACTTAAAAAACTAATGTTTCAGGTTCATTTCCTCACTGGTGTGTCTCTGTTTTCCCTCACATTCCTGGTTTGGTTTGGTTTGCACACCTGGTCCTAATTAAATGATTGAGACACACCTGTTTATCTGTTTTTTTCTGCTGCCATCTACTGGACACACTCAAATTAACTTCATCAACTAATAAAGAAGGGGAGGAGAGAGGAGGGGAGGAGGTGAGGAGGGGAGGAGAGGAGAGGTGAGAGGTGAGAGGAGAGGTGAGACTTGGAGCAGAAGGGCTGGGCTTTTTGACTTGACCCTCACTGTGTTTTGTTTTCATCCAATCATAAAGTGTTTTTGGCCAATAATCAGGAAATGCATGTTAGCCTGCTAGTTGTAGAATAATTAGGCTTCCCTGAATGTATAAGATAAGTGAGAAATAACTTCAAACTGGTTCTGCTTATGACGTTTTAAGGATAGTAAAAATGGAGTACATCTTTAAATTCACCTTTGAGTTGCAGAATGATGACATTATGATTGTTGCCATAGAGATTAACAATTATAACATATAAAAGGAAGTTTTAACCTGAATACCATTTGTTATTCTATACGTACGGGGAAGTGAGCATGGGGGCGCTTCTGGCTCCATCAACTCTGGCCTCAATTGACAAACACTAAAAAACTGTTACCTCTCTGTAACTGCTTAAGTGAGCCTCATCATTTTGGTCTTAAAATGTTCGTATTAACCCACTCTACATGATCCTGGAGTTTTTATTTTGCTATTTTGTCCGTAAATACATTCCTATTCATACGGAGCATGAGTCCAAATACTCTCCTATAACTACAAGCCTCGATGAGCTTCATTTGACTAGAGCCGAACTTTGAATTACTTGCTGTACGAGGTGTGCTATACAAAAAACCATGCCTATATGTTCTTTCATCCATGTTTCGTCCTTCAGGTCAGTGGGGCATGCCGACCGTGAGCTTGGCGGGGGTCTTTGGCATTCTGGCGGGTATCGTGTGTTCTATGGCAGAGTCTGTGGGTGACTACCATTCCTGTGCCAGGCTCTCCGGCGCACCTCCTCCACCCAAACACGCCATCAACCGGGGCATTGGCGTGGAGGGAGTGGGGTCACTGCTGGCCGGGGCGTTTGGGACCGGGAATGGGACCACATCGTTCAGTGAGAATATAGCAGCGCTGGGGATCACAAAGGTAAGAAAGGATTTTATTGTAACTGACCACTTCTTACCACACTAATTTATTTGTTATCTAATTCTGTTAAAGCCACTATACCACTGTCTTAAAGGTGCAACTGTGTTAAAGGTGTAACTTTTCTGGTAGAGGATCTGCCGCCTGCTTCACTTCATGTAGATATTATTATTTTTTCCTGGAGTCTTCTGCAGTAGGGGTTTTCAAATTGGGTGAATGTGAGCCTCCCCTTAGAGAAAGTAAAGAGAGCAGAGCCCCCTCTTTTCCAGAATCCCATCCTGCCCTACCCCATACTGGCCTTTGAAGTAAATGCATCTTTTGTGTTCCTGGCCATGATGAGTTGAACTGATAATATACAATTGATAATATATTTTTTCTTTTTCTTTTTTTTGTAAAAACACATTCATAAACATTCATAAACAATTTAAACAGCAAATAATTTCCAACTTCATACAGGCCTAACTGAGGTGACTTTTGTCATCACTGAACATCAGTAGGTCATCAGGACTAAACCAGGACTAAACCAGGTCTAAACCAGGTCTATACCAGTACTAATCTTGGACTTGAGAGAGAGAGGGAGGACCCCGAGCCCGCGGAGTGCACTTAGCTTCATGGGGTATCGGTCCTTTCACCACCTCCGGGCCTGTCCCGACACTCAGTCCTGACTCAGTTCTGGTTTAGTCCTGGTTTAGTCCTGGTTTAGTCTTGGTTTAATCCTGTTTTAGTCCTAGTTCAGTCCTGGGATCAGTCCTGGTTTAGTCCGTGAGTGTCATGCCTCCCCAGTGGCTCTTTGATGCCCTACAAACTCATTTTGGTCCGGGGGACGTATCCAACCGACTTTGATCCCAAAGGGGCCGGATCAGAAAACTCATGTCATATAAACCTCAAAAATAACAATAAGTTCAATTATTTGTGCAGAGAAACGCAAATCTATTACAGAAATCTTTTTTAATTGATGAACTCTTTCTTTTACAAAATATTATAATATTATGAACAACCTGAAACTTTAAGAAAAATACAATTTCAACATAATGTTTTAACATGAACTTGTTTAACATGAACTTCTATAAATAGGAATAAGTAAATTTTTGTTGTAAAATCCTGCACTCGGCTTCACTTTTCTCATTTTGGACATTTTTCTGATGAGGATGTCACGGTCAACAGTCAAAACGATCGTCCTTTAAGAGCGTTTGGAAAGAGACAAGTCTTCATTTGTGCTGCTCTGGTGGGAGGGGCCACGTACAGAGACGCTGGAGACATTGCTGTGATAAACACCACAGAAAATTTACAATATTTTAATAGAAAATATGATTAAAATATTTTTGTAGAAAATCAGCCGAGGGCCAGATTAAAGGTCTTGGAGGGCCGGATCTGGCCCCGGGCCGCATATTTGACACCTGTGCCCTACGGTATGGCATTTCATTTAACTATCTCCATGGATTTTACGGTATTTAGAGAAATAAAAACATACATCAACACATACAAGATAGATAGATATAAGATAGATTGTTTAATATATTTGTTTGTTTGACTCTCATCCAGAAACGTTTCACAATGCACCTTTAAAAATGTGAAAAAACAAAGTAGTTCTGTTTAAATTATTATCAGTGGTCCAAAGTTATTCTGCATTTACCTTATACTTTCCAATCAGCCGAATTATTCAGTAAGATACGTTTTTAAGTGCATTTCACAACTTTTAAAACATGCTGGAAGAGCACTTCCTGATTCCGGGGCAATAAATTGTATAATTAGATGCAGCACACAGCACTTATTTTGACCACAAGAGCTGCTTATACTGTGGCAAGACAAATTTTGCTCAAATACATGTCAAAAAGTTTGGTACAGACTCTTTAACTTGTTCTGATTTATTAACTTCTTAAGCCAAAATTCTTGTGTCTGAGTTGTGCCCAGTTCCTGACAGGTTTTCCCAGAGGCTGTGAAGGATGGGTCCAATCTAGAGAACAAATTTGCATTCTGGGTGAATAGAGTAACTTATAATTACGAAACTAATTCAACAGCAGATCATAGTTGATAATGAGTCTGATGAAAGCAAAATGTACAGTGATTCAAACTTTTACAACATACACTTCTGTCCACATTTTGAAGATGATTAAAGTTAGTTAGTTAAGGTAAGTTAAGTTAGTAAGTTAGTTAAAAACACCTACACTCTGCCATTTAATTTCAAATTAATCTCCTAAACTGGGCAGTACCCAGAGGACTAAAGAAAAGAGTTAGGGGGAGGAGGGGCTGTATAAAGAAGTGGACTTAAGGGCGTGTGATGTTTCCCATTAGCCTGATTCATCAGCCTGTTTCACTTCGTGGAAACTGTATGACCTCGCAGCATTAAGATTCATTCGCTCGACGGTAGGCGGGTACTTTTTTATTTAACCAATTGCTGCTATTTGGTCGTGACGTATGTAATGCCCCAAATCCCAAAGGAAGATAGGTAATAACATCTTTCCCCTTGATAAAATTCACCAAACATTCCCTCTCACAAAAGGGACCCAGACAGGCGCTTGAGTTTGACGTCATGGTTTCACAGCTCTTTGCTGATTGGTCGGTACGCAGTCTACAACTTCAGGGGTTCTTGCAAACCGTCTAGTGTGTTCTGATTCCTGACCTAGTCACTCGAGAAAAATGAAATTGACTGGAGGCACTAGGTGATGCCAGCCTGGCTAGTCACCCATACCATATATTCAGCTCTAGTCAAATAAAGTTCATGAGGCTAGCAGTTACAGAAGTGAATTTGGAGCCAATTCTAAATTAGGAATGCAAGTTTACGGACAAAATGGCAAAATAAAAACACCAGGATCATGTAGGGTTAATAAAAGTGTTAAAAATAAAAAGATAGGTTTAATCCCATACGGTGGCCATACCATCTTGTAAAAGCCTGATCCCGTCAGACCTCAGAAGCTCAGCAGAGCTGGGCCTGGTAAGTACTTGGATGGGAGACCATTGGGAAAATCAGGTGCCACAGTGAGGCGCCAGTCACATTAACTGTTGTTGTGTTGTTGTGAAAATTTGAAAGTTTTTTGTACGAGTGTGTGTGTGTGTGTGTGAGTGATGGTGGTGGTCGGAGGGACCGATGGCGCTGATTGGCATGGCAGCTGCACTTCTGTCAGTTTGCCCCAGGGCAGCTGTGGTTACAACAGTAGCTTACCAGCATCAGGTATAGAGTGAATGAATAATGCTGAATAATGCTCTGTAAAGCGTCTTTGTTACATATGTTTGTGAAAAGTGCTATATAAATAAAGACTTACTTACTTACTTACTTATGGTGAAACATTCCAGATTAACATCTACATGGAGAAAAGCTGAAAAGTTACACAATGCACATTTTAAAAAAAAACATAAAATTATTATCAATAATTATCAATCATTTATTAAATTCTATTCAACTACTTCAGTTTTTCTTGGATAACAATTACTATGGTTTTTAAAAAGTAACATGGATCAATAATGTATGACGCACATCTTCCTACTCTGTGTATCTTTATGAACAGGTGGGCAGCCGAACGGTGATAATGGTGAGTGGAATTGTTATGATGTTAATTGGAATTCTGGGAAAGATCGGAGCTATCTTCACAACCATCCCCACCCCTGTAATCGGAGGCATGTTTTTAATCATGTTTGGAGTCATAACAGCAGCTGGAATCTCGAATCTGCAGGTAAAACATAATCTAAAACACTATTAAAGGGCATATATTACACTATTTTTTAAAATCTATGTTATGTTATAATGTTGTTTCTAATGTTTCCTCACCAAAAACAGACTTGGAATTGTGTTTTGTTTCATTCACACCTTTTCTTAATATCACAAGATGGAAGAGACTAATAATAAAGGGTTACTCTAACGTGTGAATGAATCAAAACACAACTCCAGGTTTTAAGGAAGTAACAACATTATAACATGATTTAAAGCTCACAAGAGTCAATTTTGTGTAATATAGGATCTTCAGATTTTCAGCTGTGGAGTTATAGTACACAGTTTGACACCATGAACTTTGTATTTTCAGACGACTGACATGAACTCCTCCAGGAATATTTTCATTTTTGGGTTTTCAATGTTCTCTGCACTTACAATTCCAAACTGGTTACACAAGAATCCAAACTCCTTAGTAACAGGTAATGTTTTGTTTTATTCCACTGATTATAAAGTAATTAAGATTTACAACTGTGGTTAATGGTTAATCCAAATCATGATTGAAATGGTGATATTAGCAAAGTTAGCACTTACTTTATAATGTCAGGTGAAGCTAAGAGAAAAATGTCTTGTTTTAATAAGTCTGTAAGAAAACCTGTTAACGTTGATAAAATGTGAAATATATTGGATTCTAGTATCAGGTCTAAACATGAGATTTTAGTTATGTTACCTGATCAAAAACAGACCTGAAGTTGTGTTTTATTTCATTTACACATTTGAGTAACCTTTTATTATTAGTTTGTCTTCATCTCCAAAGCTCAGAATGCTCTGTTCCACCTTGTGATGTCACGAAGAAGTAATTTTCAAGTTAACAGCTGCCTTAACTTAACTTAACTTAACTTTAACTTTACTTTACTTTACTTTACTTTACTTTACTGTTCAGTGAAGATTGGCAATTCCAGGGCTGAAATTATCCACATGATTCTTTTGAAGATGTACGGAAATTAAAAACACAGTAGAGCACTTTGATTATTACCGCATGACATCACAAGGTGGAACAGAGTGTTTTCTGTTTGAGAGAAGAACTCATGTTAAATATGCAGGGTTTGTGTGTTAAACGTGTGAATGAAACAAAACACAACTCCAGGTCTGTTTATGATAAACAACCTTAAGATCAAAAGAATCCATTTTGAGATGTAGAACCTCTAAGTGTATATTAAGGCTAACCTTATGTTATTTTGCATGTTGTGTGATACTTGCATTTATTTATCAGTTTATATTTCAGTATTCTCTTTATCAGGAGAGTTGCAATCAGACTTTTTTTCATATTTCCAGCCTAATTAAAAGTGCACTGTGTAACCTTTCTGGTCAAGGGTCCGTCAAATGCTTTTTTCCATGGAGATGTTATTGCTTTGTCTGAATGTTTCACAGTATGGCATTAAACCTTTCTATCTTCATGGAGACCAAACCAGACCAAGTTACAGGTCAGCTCTGTGGAAAGTCAACTCCGCTCAGTCAGAATGCCTGTTTTTCTAGGTATTTTTAACCTATAAAACCACCTGCAATTGAATAACTGCAAAATAGAACTGTCATACTGTGGAACATTCCAGGCAAATCAACGAGCAGGTGACAGACTCACAGCAAAAAACATAACAAATATTAGTAACTGTTCTACATTTGTGTTGTATTACAGGTGTTAAAGAAATCGACCAAGTGCTGCAGATTCTCCTGACCACACATATGTTTATTGGAGGGTTCCTTGGTTTTTTCCTTGACAACACAATTCCTGGTAAGCTCTAATACTTCTAACTAATCTGATAATGTCTCTCTATGGCCTTGAATCACACCCTCAAGCCTTTACGCACTTTTCAGTGAGCATGTTTGCCTCTTGTGTTCAACCTCAACATTATAGTCCAATACATTCAACTTCATTTGTATAGCACATTTTATAAACAAGACAGTTTCAGAAGTGCTTCACATAGCAATTTAAAACATTTAACTAACTAACTTCAGACAAAAGAAACTAATAGAAAGGGCCTGTCCCTCCTGGATTTGAGTCTGGTCTTAGGCACCACAGGCTGGAGCTAGCCCTCGGACCTCAGAGCACGCACAGGGGTTTAAATCTGGATGAGACTGAGATGTATTTTTTTTAAAAACAGGAAGTCAGTGCAAAGACGCAAGAATTGGGGTAAAGTGATGGCACCTTTTGCTCCATGTTTAAAGAGTTTTGGACTAACTGCAGGCAATGAAGTACATTATTACTGGTCATGTAAATGTACCTGTATTTTTGTCCATTTTCACAGGAACTAAGAGAGAGCGTGGCCTGTTGTGTTTAGATAAAGATGACAACCTAGAAGATACCAGCAGACTGTCCCAGGTTTATGACCTTCCATTTGGGATCAGCTCCTTCTTTTCGAGTCGCTCTTGGGGGCGCTATATCCCATTTTGTCCCTGGAATGGAGACAGAACTGGAGAAGAGTCTGTTATCCAAAATAATCCCCCAAAAACCAAGTTAAGCATGGACTCATATTTTTGACAGTGCTCTGACTATGACCATATGGAGTCAATGGAAAAGTCGAGCTTTGTTTTCACACTTGGCTGCTGCTTTGTTTTAATCCATTACTTTGAAGTTGCCTGGGATCTAGAATCTGCACTTCTCCAAAACTCACGATGTGACTGTGGTCCATAGACTCTATATATAAATGGACATACTTTAACCCGCTGTGTTCCAAATAAGAAGTGGGCATAGCTGCTACTCTCAGGTTCATCTTTTTGGTCTTAAAATGTTCATATTAAACCACTTTACATGATCCTAGTGTTTTTATTTCCATATTTTGCCTGTAAATCAAGAGATGAACATTAATAACAGACAAATCAGGCATCGTTGACATTTTTGTTGCTAAGTGCCCGCTCCCTGCTAAACCAGCTTGGGAACGGGAGTTACTTTCAACAGCTTCAATCCTGATTGACTCTTGGTTGCTGTTATACTCAAGGAAAGACTTCTAAATATGGAAATCAATCAATTCTGCCTATAAAACATAAACCATTATCTTGTTATTAGTGTACAAGGTTAGGCATCAAAATGATACATGTACATTGTACAATGGTAATAGGCATTTAATTCATCAAATTTGACTTATCCAGCACAATACATGTAATTCAGAAATCCTTTGGCGAGCTACTTGGAAGGGGATGTAGAGTTACTGGTAGCTCCTGAGCTCCAGGTTGAAGATCCTTGTACTTTGTCATAGACCATAGACTCTGTGGTCTGGTCACCATTAAATCTCCCCAAATTTAAATGAGTGTGATTGACAAGTGGATTAGCCAATCAAGGCTGCGCATGGTCTGTCCAAACATGGCTACATATGGAAAAATGAAAAAAATATCACAGGGAGCTGAAAAACATAGCAGAAGTAAATAAGTAAAATTATCTACCAATTTAACAAATCTTTTTGTAGTTGAAATAGGAAAATACACCGAGGAACACTGAAGATAAGAAAAAAATACTTAGAATAATGATCTACTCAAATCAAAAAATCTTCTTAATTTGATTTTTTTTTTTTAAGTATTTGCACTGTCCTATATTGATACTATTTTCTCCTGAGTGTTTATTACACTGAACGTAACCCTTTTCATATTTGTCTATATAAATTGTACATTATTTTTGTGTAAACTAACCGTATATTACATGTTCTTTAAATAAATATTACTTATTTTATTGTTTCACATCTTCTATTTTACTTTAAAATAATTGTAATACACTAACTGTACTTTGTAGCCACACTGGGCTCATCTGGTGCTGTATATATTTCAGATGAGTTCTTCTCTCAAATGGAAAACTGTTCCATCTTGCTGCACTGTGTTTTAAACTCCATTCACTTCCACTAGGATCATTTGGATAACTAAATGTAAAAGGTGGCTGTTAACTTGAAAACTACAGCTTCATGACATCACAAAGTGGAACAGAGCATTTTGAGCTTTGGAGGTGTAGACAGACTAATAATAAAGGGTTACTCAAATGTGTGAATGAAACAAAACACAACTCCAGGTCAGTTTTTGTTGAAGTAACAACGTTATAACATGTCTTAAAACTCACACAACTCACTCATTTGCATAATGTAGGACCTTTAACTGCACCATCACCCCATTTCTGTCAAGTTATTTTGTCACACCAGTTCTTTCTTCATACTTTTACGTCCCCTCATTTTACACACTGTGAATTTTTTGCTTCACTCCCGTCTCTCAAAGGAAATTAAATTTAGCTCCTGGAGAAGCATGTTATCATCAAAAGCCCTATCTTCTCCTGATCTCCACCCACAGCTTTTATTATGTGTCCTTCTTTTTTGGGTTTAAGCAGAGATAGCAGCGTGACTGTTTTCCTCTGAGTGTGTGTGTTCATTTCCGCTGTGGTGTTGGGTCATTTCAGAACAATGGACAGCTCCATGGTGGAAGCAGTATCTTCTTTCATCATTTCGCACAATATCTGAAAGAAATTGCTCAGGTTTACAAATTTATACAGGCAAAGGGCCCATATTACACTACTTTCTGATCCATGTTATAATGTTTCTTCATTAAAAACACACCTGGAGTTGTGTTTTGTTTCATTCACACATGTTTAACCTGCATATTTAGGCTGAGTTCTTCTCTCAAACAGAAAACACTCTGTTCCACCTTGTGATGTCATGTGATATAGGAAGTGCTCCAATGTGTTTTTAAATTCTGTATGTCTTCACTAGAATCATTTGGATAATTTCAGCCCTGGAATTGCCAATCTCTACTGAACTAAAGGTAAAATGTTGCTGGTAACTTGAAAACTACCACCTCATGACATCACAAGGTGGAACAGAGCATTTTGAGCTTTGGAGATGCAGACTAACAATAAAGGGTTATTCAAACACGTGTGAATGAAACAAAACACAGCCCCGGGTATGTGTTGGATTTTTAAAAGTGCATGATAACATTTATTGTTTCCAATCTAGATGTTATTACTTTGTCTGCGATGTTCATTAAAGCAATAATAATAATATTTATCTACGCTACAGCGCTACAACCAATCATACCTAGCTCTTTGGTAATGTCTCTGTCTCCATAGCAACAATAAGAATGCTTTTTACCAAGATATTTCTGAGGTCTAGCATAGTAAATAACATAATAAAAAAACAAATAAATTATAAACTGATTAGTAACATAGCAAAGGAGAAATCAAATTCAGTCAACTGGACAAAAGTTTTTTGATTGAATACGTTTTGTAGCTCATCCAAACTGCTTCTTCAGTTCTGGTCAGGTGCTAGTAAACACTTCCTTATATATGTCTGCAGAGAGGAGCTACCTACACTGAAAATACTCTGAAACTAACACCCTACTTGCAGTTCAGTAGACCTAGTTAACAAACAGAAACTCTAAACAAGTAGGTGTGTTAGTTTCAGAATAGTCTCAGTGTAGTTAGGCAGTGGAGAACTGAAGAAGCAGCTTGGTTGAGTTGTGAAATGTATTCAATCAAAAAACTTTTCTTTTGTCCAGTTGACAGAACTGAATTGCTCTTTTGCCATAGACTCTACCTGGACGACAGAGGAATTTCACAAACACATTTAAGTAACCACTTTCACACTCTGTACACTACAAAAAGCAATATCTAAATTCAAATGACTTAAATTAAGAACTTTTGACTTTATTTGATTAAATTAATCTTGACAAGTAAAATCCTCTACCAGTAGAATAAGTGTGTATTTTTAATTCAATCAACATTAGATTTGTTTCTTATTTTTAGTGCAAAGAGTTGCTGTTTTTTTTTCTTAACTGCAGTAAGATGCATTTTCATATTTTAAAAGACCCAAACTCTTACATGGCTTTATTGATTTCTCTTTGTTATTTGGGCTGATTGGGACCTGATGAGTGCAAAAACAAAGAATTATATTTTTATATAATATTTTTATATTTATATGTCCACATATGATATATAAAACATTAATTTTATGTTTAATCATTTTGATGGAACATAATAAAGCCACAGATGAAAAATGATTTGCAAAAAATATTTATTAAGTCCCTGAACAACCCAGAAATGTTGGACATATATGTGGACACCAGGTCCTACAAGGCTATGTGCTAAAAGTCTTGTTCCACTAGCAGATAATTTTACTTGTCAAGTGAAATGAACTCAAATTATAATAAAACTTTCTTAATTCAAGTCATTTTAACTTGGCTAGATTTTCGTTTTTTGTATTTCAATATGTTATTCATATACATTCATACATAGAAAATGACTGTAGCATTTGTACTACAGCGTCTCTGAGTGTCATAAAAATTGCTCTATAAAACTATACTGCAAATGGCAACAGTTTAAGATCCACTTTCAAGCACAGAGAGCTATTGCAGTCTTTGAAATGCCAGCCTTTTCCTACAGAATCAAACCAGATAAATATAATAAAAACAGATATGCCTTGAGAGGAAGATAAAATGAGTATATGTGATACATTCACACAATAGAGGAGGGGATCTTTGTTCTGTTGCCTTATCTATTTACATACAGTAAGTAGGATGGAGGAAAGCTATCAGATAAACACATTTAGGTAGTACTTCAATACACGCTGCAGGCATTTATGCAAACTCAGATAGAAGGTGTAATGTAATGGGCCACTGAAGCGCACTTGTATTACTGCTTCGTACTTATGGCCTATATACAGTAAGTAGTATTCTCTGTGTAAACCCAGGATGCAGTGTGGTAAGGGGTAAGTACAATGTGTTGGTGTTTTGCCTCAAATATTCCACTGTAAGGCATTAAACTTGTATATCATTCATTTATTCAGTTATACGGATAAAATTATTCTTTAAAAACATACATTATACCATTGAGCGGGAATGCCTCTCCTCAGATGTGACCTGTAACTTAATAACACTGCTGGGCAAGTTACTTTGAAACTGTAATGTGTTATTTATTACTTATCGCTGTCATTTCAAAGTAATGCGTTACATTACAATATTACTGCATTTAAAATGTACAACATTACATTACTATTGCAGTACTTTTAAGTTTCTCTCACCAAAATAACTGTGAAGATGGTGAACTTTTGCACCGTATATGAACTGAACCAGGACTGAACCAAGTACTGAACCAGGACTAAACTAGGTCTAAACCAGGACTAAACCAAAACTGAATCAGAGCTGAACTGAGACTGAACCAGGACTAAACCAGGACTAAGCCAGTACTGAACCAGGACTAAACCAGAACTAAATCAGAAATGAACCAGGACTAAAATGGGACTAAACCAGTGCTGAACCAGGACTGAACCAGGAATAAACTAGGTCTAAACCAGGTCTGAACTAAGGACTAAACCAGGACTAAACTAGGACTAAACCAGGACTAAACTAGGTCTAAACTAGGTCTAAACCAGGACTAAACTAGGACTAAACCAGACCTGAACCAGGATTGAACCAGGTCTAAACCAGAACTGACCCAGGTCTAAACCAGGTCTAAACCAGGTCTAAACCAGGACCAAACCAGGACCAAACCAGGACTAATCTTGGTCAAGAACTTGG